GTAGTAGTAGTAGTAGTAGTAGTAGTAGTAGTAGTAGTAGTAGTAGTTTAATAGTAGTAGTAGTTTAATAGTAGTAGTAGTTTAATAGTAGTAGTAGTAGTTTAATAGTAGTAGTAGTTTAATAGTAGTAGTAGTAGTAGTAGTAGTAGTAGTAGTAGTAATAGTAGTAGTAGTAGCTTAATAGTAGTAGTAGTGGTAGTGGTGGTAGTAGTAGTAGTAGTAGTCGTAGTGGTAGTGGTAGTGGTGGTGGTAGTAGTAGTAGCAGTAGTAGTAGTAGTAGTAGTAGTAGTCTTAGTTAATCATTTTCTAGACACAAGACAATCAGGTCAATCCGATGCATTTAGTTTGGCCAGACGTGAAATCCAAATCGGCAGCTGTCAGAAAAGCTGAGATCGAGATAATATACAGAAGTCTCCATCCGAGAGGTCTCCAAGAAGCCTCTTGATTGTACAGCGTCATACGTATGCATTTCTCCAGGCCTCTAGTTCGGGCATCTCTAACCTGCCATGTGAAGATTAGAGGCTTGGCCGCTGACCAAATGTGAACTTTTGACTTGATAAGTAGAAATGCCAGACCGCAAGGAAAGGGGTGTGTATATGTGTGTGTTAGCGCTTGTTGACTTGTGACATCCTTGGACATTCTCGCTTGTTTTCTTCTAGCACTCCCCCGAAGTGAAGCTGCAAGTTCTCAGAGATCACATTCCGGACGAACAGTTCATGGATATTCCGCCTTGAACGCACCAATCGTGTTCCTGCTCGCCGCATTCCTGCTCGAGCGATTGAGATCGACGCCTTGACACTCAGGCCTCGAGTGCTCGCAGCGTTCACAGTCCAAAAGACCCCAGATTTTGAACAGAAAGGTTGGAGGCCATCGCTATTCGGGTGGAGGCCGCCGCTAGCAGGTTGGAGGCCATCGCTATTCGGGTGGAGGCCATTGCTATTAGGGTGGAGGCCATCGGCGGTAGGTTGGAGGCCATCGCTAGTAGTCTCTCTCTCCTCCTTGTCACTCCTAGAGAAAGATGAGACATCATGGGACCATCCGGAAATCTCACGGGTATGTTTCGGGAAATGTCCGGAACGCTCAAAAGTTTCAAAAAAAGGGGTGCAAACCTACAATTGCATGGAATGGATGCACACACACACATATATATATATATTGTTTATGTGTTTTTTAGTGCCTGCTTTTGTGGTGGTGTTTCTTTTTGTGACACTCGTATTGTTTTTGTTGTTTTTTTGGCCTTGGCCACTGCAGGAAGTTATATTAAACACACACACACGAAGTTATATATTGTGCGGTGCCATGTGGTAGACTGGTAGACACAATGCAGATCGAATGATAGTGATCAGATGGTCCACGCATTGCATGAAACGAGCGTCGATTGAATCAGTGACTATATAAAGATGACGTTATCGAGACATACAGATGAACCATTTTGCATACTTATCCCGGATCGAGCTTTCTTGTCCAGTAATTCTTTCACATCTTTCACGCTGCCCTTGCCACTGGCCAGTCCGCTACGATTTGTAGTCATCTGTCGACTGCTCAGCCGGTCATCCTGCCTGCCAAAGTTGAAGAACAAGACTTGCTGATTGCGCTTTTCTGCGTTGTCTTGTTTTCTTTGTCTCTAGTTTTTGTTCTTGCATTTCTACAAGGGTGCTCCAGTCTTGCCGAGGATGGAGGCTCGACAAGAGCAAGCGTTGCTCCGCCGGGCTGCAGACTCCGAGGAGCACATCTTAGCAATTTCGGAAAGACTAAGAAAGGGTTAGATAGGTTCTGCAAAGTATGGTGTATTTCTGAAACATTGGAAGACAATCGCACCATTTGTACGCTAACTATTTACTTGTTGTAAGGTAGGCAGGTAGACTAGGTAGACCGTGTTGAGCTCGTTTCTGGAAGCAACGTTTGGATGACACACTTGCGCCATAGGTGCGCTTCCAGCAGGTCATCGAGGCCTGATCTATTTCTTTGCCTGTCTGCCCGTGAGTGCGCCTGCCTTCTTGTTTGTCTTGTCCTGTCTTGTGCTCGCTTTCTGTTTGCCTGTCTGTCTGTCTGTCTCTGTCTCTGTCTCTGTCTCTGTCTCTGTCTCTGTCTCTGTGTCTGTCTCTCTGTCTGTCTCTCTGTCTGTCTCTCTGTCTCTCTCTCTCTCTGTCTGTCTGTCTGTCTGTTTGTCTGTCTGTCACTATCTCTCTGTCACTATCTATCTGTCACCATCTATCTGTCACTATCTATCTGTCACTATCTA